TGCGTACTTTTATCCACACAGTTGTAACATGATTAGTGATTATTATTTACTTTAATAGTTATAGGTAGTGTATAATTATCACACTTTTCACAAATGTATTTTAGACTTTGAACAGAGCGATGAATCTATTTGATTTGTAATGATTATTTTGTTTTGTATATGTCTGCAGTAAACGTGTTTTAGAACTAAACAAATGCTTCAGTTATTAAATTTAACAGTGATATATAGGGGGGTAGTGGATCTTTTAGGAAATTGTACATAGTAAAAACATCTTAAAAAACATCCAAAAATATTAATATAAGCACTCTACTCAACATTACATTTCATATACCTTTCTCTTCCTCAAACTACTATCTTAACTCACCGATCATCCCTCTTATGCGCATTGCCAACACTGACCCTTCATTCTCTCTCCAAAATTGAGCCTCGTTTCCATAAACAAAACTATTATTATCATACTATTATAATCATGTACTAAAGGGTTCGTCCCGTATTGTAAAATAAAATAAAATAAAATTACTTACTTTACTATAAGCCTACATTACTTACWTAATTTATTTAAAAGTTTTACTTTTATTCACGTAATGAATAATGATGAAAAATAGTTGTTTAAAAATATAAAAACATTTTTAAATTATATCTATGTTATACCTACGTTTATTGTATAAACATTAACAATTTATCAAAAGCGGTTAAGTGAATATCGTTCTGCTGTACAGTATAGGTTACAATTGAGTTACTGTAATGGATGGTATTAAATTTGAATAAAATGATCTAATACCATTGTATAATATGAAAAATGATTATGAGTGGAGATGGTTTGTAAGTAGAAGATATTTTATACTTAATTAATTATATTGTGATTATAAGTACCTACCTATAAAATAAATTCCAATTTAATCAAATCAGATTTATTATGTATCTGATTTACTCAGTTATTTATAKTATATATACATTATACAATATACYATAAAGACGTATTGATATAAGTCATTAACAACATTAACTATTATAATTAGAATATTAAGTGTAGGTACTTTAAAAATTTCAAGTGCCCACTAATAATGTTTCTAATTACAACAATATTGCTAAAATTGTTATTCTTAGTTATTTGATGGGAAATTTCATATAAATTTAAACTTTATTCATATATAAAAAAAACTGTGTTTTCACAGTTTTTAGATTTTTTTTTTTTTGCAGAATTAACTATATATAGGTACGTGAAACCTCATTTTAAATTTTCAATCCTTATAGCTATAAAAGTTAAATGTTTTATAAATTTTTAACAACTAAATAATTTGTAAATTTTCAATTTGACGCATTTTGTCAAAATTAAAACTTTAAGTGGTTATAGAATAAAAAACCAAACAAATTTTAAATTTCAAATGTATATAAATAACTTAAAAAGAATTGAAATATTTTGAAATTTTAAACAAGTATAGGAATTGATATAATAATCAAATTTCTATAGTTATTTTTAGTTTATTATTGCTCCTAACGGAGCTTATAGGTTAGGACGTTAGGTTTGATCTGTTTTTGCTTTCAAATTAAAATAATAAGATACTATAATAATTATTAAACAATAAATAATGTTGAATATTTTATGAAGTCATAGATATAATTTAATACTCGAACAGAATTTTATGAATCCGTTACACAGCTGTTAAATTGATTTCTTCTTGTATATTTCGTTGATTTTCTTTCGCTGGTTTATCTTCTGCCCATGATTGTAGTTCTGCCGAAGCGAAAATGGCATAGACTACTGCCATCGCAAAACATATTACCGCCACCAGGACACGAATTTGGATATCGTTAAGTATCTATGATCAGACAAAATTTTGACCCGTAAATTTGTCTCATAGTTTTAATACATTTTATATAATATAAATCTTATTTACTTCATAACTCAAAAACTTTTTTATGACAGTTGGCAAATACAAAAAAAAAGTGTAATATATGAACTGATTTAATCCATATAGTACACTCACATATTTTGGTGCGATGTCCAAATGGTTAATTTCAAAACCTATAACCAAACAAATGTAATATARATTATAATTTATAACGATATAAAAATGTTTATAAATATTGCACGTTTCACGTATGTTTGAACTTACCAAATAGACTGAAATACACCATTAAATTAAAAATCAAACTCGGTAAATTATTGGTCTCTATAAACAAAAAAAATCGGTTCGGTAAAAAATCCAATAAAAGTAGAAAGCCCATTAAAACCATAAACATGCAACTAAAAAATTTTCTGACGTTGGTGACAGAAAATCGTACTGTTATTTCCGGAAATAATTCGATCAAGACGAATAAGAGTAGTAACAAAATTGTTGTGTATTTTCTCATAGACCAATTAAATGAAAGCTGTTAAGACAAACGTAATATGTATAAATACCAAATTTTATGATTTCGCTGAATCGAAAATATATTTATTCATTAAGGTATGAATAAAACATATATATTGTATAAACACTTACATAATAATTATTTAAAGAAAGATTTATTACATGCCCAATAGAATAACACATGTACGATAAAACAAGCACAATGACGGGCATTGAAGTACAAAACGACTTCCATGGAATGTCCAATATTGTWGACCGTCTTAAAGAAATTACTGAAAGTTTAGAAGAACGTGCTGCGGTGTTAGAACCTCTTAACAGTCCAAACAATTTAAAATCACGATTTGGACTCTGTGAACGATCTCCATTGATCATGTWCAACCACAAAACAAACCATGCCAGCCCAATAATAATACCTAGGTAATGAAGTACATTATGTGGTAAAGTGTTTATAGTGTAAATAGACATTTAATCTTTCAATATCACGGTTTAATTATAGTATAGGTACCTAATAGATGATATTTATATATTTGTATAATATATAAGTTTATCATCGACCATAATAATATTGGAACGTGACGTAATGACTGTTTATTCAATGGCATCCAAAATGAATAAATCCTGTGAGATGCTGAACTTGCCATGGCCTAGGAAAATAATAATAATAATATTCTACATCATGTGTATGCTCATAAATCATAATATAATATTATAAACTCTGTTGTATGAAATTAAAATTATCTTATTATTACCTACCAAAGTCATTCCAATGCAAAATAGTGAGATAAAATGCAAATGCACGTTTGAGTAATTCGTGAGTTCCATAAAATGACAAATTGACAATATGATGAACGATATTCCGAAAATTCTGAACATAAATAAATACAAATTATACTGCATTCGAGGCAAGGAAATATACATTAATATGTTATATAGTTTTCATAACTAGCTGACATTRAAATTTAGCTGTGCATGTACAAAAATGTTGTCTTACAAAATATACCAATGTGCCATGAAAATTGTATCTGAGAAAAATTAAATTTTTATTTTACATATTTAGRAATTTTGAAACTGTTTATACAAATAATACATAACTTGTGGTATTATATATATCGCCGGAACTTGAAAGTGACATTGATTACCATTTTGAACTAACCATTTTATTACATTCATATTATAAATCTTAGCCACACATATTATTATTACTAAGYACAATATAATAGAATATCGTTTGATTACTTGTGAGCCGAATAGACGACGGCTAAGATACCACCAAGTACAAAACCAATACACATTCCACACATGAAGTAATTAACCTGTAATATTATAAATGTATAAAATTAATGATAGATATTTTATGGCAGGGTATAGGCGCAATTTCCATTTTTGACTTGGGAGGAGCTGAATATATAAAAGGCATGCAGACCCGTTGGGGGGCTTTGCCCCCACACTCCCTACCAATCACCATTCATATTATCTCACCTTATCATATAACTTCATAATTTGATTACATTTTTTTTTTTTACTAAAGTACYTACCGTAATCTCCACTTATCTTACAAAATGCTTATGCCACAAAATAAATAATAATTTCATTATTACAATCGACCTACCTCAAATTTCAAGAGGGGGTGTGATTTATTATAACATAATTTCAACAAAATACTAATAAATATATTAATTAATTTAATTATATACATATGACAATCAAAATAAACACTGCTGTATATTATTTGAAATATTAAATCAAATCATAATTGTAATCTTTTATTAATTTTAGCATACTCAATAAGAATATCTTCAGCTTTAWGTTGATTTTATACTTTCCTTTCAATGTTTAATTTTTTACAATACAATTTTTTAGACAACCTAAAGATTAACGTAAAAGTTATTGTAATGAAAACAACCATCGGATAGCGATCACGTGTAACCAAAATATAAATGCATTTATATAAGCGCACTAAATGGCCTCAAGGAAAGACTTAATTCACCGAATTTAGAACAATAAAAATAAATTTTTAATCTATTATAGCATAAACACGTTATGTCAAATATTATGTGGACTTATCACTTATTACTGGCATCGTGCGTTTAGTCAAGAGTATCTTATACCTATATATTATTAATTATTATAAAGTAGGTATGTACCTATACCTAAAATATACATTTAGTATATACCATGGTGATCRTGCGAATATGTGATAGCAATAATAAAAAAATTGCAATAATATTTCCTAATAATTTAGGGTCGAGATTATACATTTATTTTTATAATATCAGCGATAATTTATATTTTATAAATTTATAATTAACATAACTGTCTCATAATATTTATAATATTATGTAAATATAAAACAAAAATACAAACTGTACAYATTTAAAATATAGATCTTTAAAATTATATGTTGYCCTAGATTTTTTTTTTGGCTAACCCCCAAATTTTTACATATATGTGGAAAAGGCAAGAAGTAAGCTTAGCTAAAGCACAAGCCACATGTAAGTATTCCATTTTTTTGTCATGCCTCAATAACGTTCATCTATCACGGCAAAGATAATACAGAGATCTATGCAACAACCCAATCCTAGATTAATGATCGATTGAGTCATGAGACATCAAAAACTTAGTGGACTCCGTCCTTTCAACTTAAACTTCAAAAAAATTGTATCACTACATTATTTTTTACAACAGTATACATAATTTTATAATTTTGCACTATATTACCACTAACAACCATTAATCATAGAAAATATAAAGTCTATAATCTATGCATAAAATGTAGTTCACAACTCTCATTTTATAAACTTCATCAAATTGTTATCAATTTAATACTTATTTTAATTTAGTAATTATTCGTGATATAAAATTAGGAACATTTTTATTTTATAATTCCTATATACCTACTAAAATATTCTTTTATTCTTTTGAAAACAGTTTTGAACGCATACAAAAAGTAATTCAGAAATGAAGGTGGTTCTCCAAAATCAATGGGCTTCGGGACCATGCCTTCCCTAGACCCCATTCGTAATCAGGAATTGCAACAACTAGACTATTCAATGAAAACAATTTCATGAAAGAAAAGTATTAACGCCACAAGCAAAAGGAAATTATAATATGAATATAAGATAAAGAGTAACTAAAAGTGTATGTTTTGTATGAGTCATGGATAGGCTTCAGTGTTTGGTTGTTCTTTTTTTACAGGGATTTTTACTCGGAGCTATGATGATTCCCACCTAATCACCTGCTGAATTGAAGAATGTTGCTTTCCAACGCTCCAACCTTCATCGAAAACTATACTTTCGTGCAGACGTGACAAA